CCTGCTGACTCAGTTTAATCGCTGACGAATGGACTTACGTCACATATTCCCAGGGTTTGACTTTTTCTTTGTTTACATTTATTTTGTTTTGTTTCATGTTTAAAAATATGAAACGAAGGACATAATATTCAAAAAAATCTGAATAGATTTTTATTCGATTTGTATCCGAATCAAAAATTCGTATATAGAGAGTTTACAAATAAGATATGAATATTTGTTTCAAAATATTTATCGGATATAAAGCGGATACAGATATTAAAACTGAATTATCCGTCGTTTCTAATCCGATCCGATCCGTATTAATATTATTAAATAAAGAAATAATTTGGTATAGAGGTTTAGAATGATTAATTTTACAAGGTTTTAACGAAGTTTTTTTATATATAGAAATTTATGATTTTAAATTTTTTAAATATGAATATTTATAACTTATAATCTTTTGAATTTTGAATTTTAAATATATTTGAGTGTAGTAAATTATAATCATATTTGTATTTGTATTTGAGTTGATGTAGGATGTTTATATTATGAATTTCAAATTTTGAATATCGTTTGTATTTGATATATTATATATTTTATATGTGTTTGAATTTATTTGTAATTTTATTTTTTAATTTTGATATGATATTATGTTTTTAATGGACCGACCCTATTAAAAACTCTCCCCGGTCCTATCAAACCATTAATCAAAATTACGTGTCAAAGGTTCGTTCTTCATTGACTTCCATATGTTGTCTTTTTAGATTTTAACTTCTCTTCTCTATTTGTTGTTCTTCTTCACCTTTCAAGAAAAAATATATGAATATTATTCCAATTTGTTATTCTCTCTCTCACACACACATATAAATTTGTTGTTCTTCTCAATCCATCTTCCGACACAACAAAACCGATCTTAGAAACCACAAGACATCAAAAAATCCAAGTGCCCTATATTTTTATGAGTTTTCATTTTGGCCCGGTATTTCTCGATTTTTGCTTTTGTAACCACGGTTGATCGTAATGGGCCACGTCGCAACCGCGAGAATGTGCAGGTCGCTGTACGGAAATCTCCGACCGGTGATATCGACTTCCGTACGATCCGGTTTGGTATCCGGACCGGACATATTGGGAAACATCAACCACACCTCGGCTTTTCGGTTTTCGAGTTCCGAGTCATCCTCGCGGGACTCTGGAAAACAACTGCCGGAAAATTCTGTCCGTACCGCCGACGGCAAAGTCATATCCACTTATTGGGGTGTGCCTCCGGTTAAGCTTACCAAACCGGATGGTTCAGCTTGGAAGTGGAATTGTTTTCAGGTATATATATGTATACATATTGATATTTTATCCGTTTGAGATTTTTCTAAATTACTTTGGCATATGTGATCGAATCAAAAAATTGATTTTTCGGTCTTCAGTTTTCAAAATTTGGGTCATATTGAATAACAGTTGAATGATTTTTGCAGCCATGGGATTCATACAAACCGGACGTGTCAATTGACGTGACCAAGCACCACAAACCGTCCAATTTCGCAGATAAATTCGCATACTGGACGGTCCAAACGCTCAAAATCCCGGTCCAATTATTTTTCCAGGTTCTATATCAAATTAAATGTCCCCTCGAGATCAAAATTTCTTTAATAATCCAAAGCACCTTAAAACCCATTTTGCCTATGTGTGTTTATATACATATGTAGAGGAGGCATATGTGCCATGCGATGTTGTTAGAGACAGTAGCTGCGGTTCCGGGAATGGTCGGAGGGATGCTTTTGCATTGCAAGTCTTTGCGAAGGTTCGAACACAGCGGCGGTTGGATCAAAGCTTTGCTTGAAGAAGCCGAAAACGAACGAATGCACCTCATGACCTTCATCGAACTCTCTCAACCCAAATGGTATTTCTATACATTTTCCATCCAAACCTCAAGTTTCAAGAATTTTTTTTCTTCTATAAATAAATTAAGGAATCGGATTCATGTACGTTTTTTTTAGATAAATCTAGGTTAAAATCGCGTTCTTTTTTTTCGAAATTCTTTGATGATCGGGAATTTAGTTACAAGAATCTTATTTTCAATTGATAAATCTCGGTTAGAATCACATTTTTTTCAAAATTATTCAATGATTGGGAATTCGGTTACAACAATCATAAACACTCTTTTACACTGCCCAAATGCTTTCATTCAAGAATCAGTCACAAGTAATGTTTTGTATATTTGCATACTATTTAACCCTTTGGGAATATTTCTCTAAAGAATGGAAATCAAAGTAAGTATCTCTTAATATATATATATAACTCAAAATTAGATGATATAGTAGTAAGAAAATATGCAAAACATATTTTTATTCTGGGTTTAAATCTAAACATGGAGAGGGACATTCACCCGGACTTTTTCGTTCTTTTCGAAGATATAGTTGGATCGAAAGCTTGAATGATATAGTTTATAATATCCTTTCCATTCCTTATAAAAAATATTCACGTTTTGCCTTGAACGTTATTCTACATACTTTTGGTAAGGCACGAGAGAGCTCTAGTCTTTGCGGTGCAAGGCGTATTCTTCAATGTATACTTCTTAGCCTATGTACTCTCTCCGAAATTGGCTCATCGGATCGTCGGATACTTGGAAGAGGAGGCGGTGAATTCGTATACCGAATTCCTCGAAGATTTGGACAACGGAAAATTCGAAAACGTCCCTGCGCCGGCCATTGCCATCGACTATTGGAGGTTGCCTAACGACGCAACTCTCCGGGACGTTGTATTCGTCATTAGGGCCGACGAAGCTCACCACCGTGACATTAACCATTATGCTTCGGTATGGTGAAATTCTGATTTCCCTTTTTTGTTAGGAATTTTTCATATGATGTGGACTTAATTGCAGATTTCGTTAATATTCGGGTCCATATGCGCAGGACATTCAATTCCAAGGACATGAACTTAAGGAGGCTCCTGCTCCAATCGGATATCATTAAGATCACGTGACATGACAACGCATCTCCGTTTTGATGTCTGTATGAATATTATGTCTATATATGCGCCTATATATATGTGTGTACACGTGTGTGCGGTGTATTGAAATAAAAATAATTTAGTAAAGGGTAGTAATAAAATTAATTTTAAAATAGTAATTTTCTTTTGAGAAAATCACAAAAAATACATTAACTTTTCAATTTTTTCATTAAAAAAACTAAACTCTTTTTTTTTAAAAAAAAAAAAACCCGAACTCATTCTTTATATTCGAAAAAAATATTAATTTTATAAAATTTATCATTTTTAAATCTAATTACCGACATTTCATTTTTAAATCTGTCAACATCTATATCATTATTTTAATGATGACGTAGATGATGACGTATACGTTCTATTAAATAAAAAATTGATATGTATAATATCGGAATGTCAATCATATCAGTTGAATTTAAAAAGGTAATATTTATAAAGTTAAAATTTTATTTGGTAAAAAATAGACTCACTTTTGTTTTTGGAAAAATTGAAAAGTTTTGAATATTTTTGAAAATACTGTTTATTTATTAATGTACTACAAAATTTTATTTTTTTTATAACAATTTATAGATACACATACATACATATTACATACATATATGAGATCATATGACGAAAATGCAATCTTGAAAATCTCTCGAACCCTAATGTACCAAAGCTAGAAACAACAGCACAAGCAAAGGAACTGAAAACAAAAGAATCTGGCAATCCGACAGCCGCCGCCACGTCAGCCGCGCCGCCGCACAAACAGCCCTC